GGGGGGGAGGGGGTGTTGTGTCGCCCAAGCCCCCCAGGCCATGAGTCTGTGCCAGGCAGGGTATGGATGTTTGCTTAGCAGCTCAAGCTGGGGCTGGCGATCGAACCCGGGAGGGACCATCCCCACTTTTCCCCTCCAGCCACCGGCACAGAGCCCAGCTGCCATGCATGAGGCCATCGCCCACTGCTCCCTGTCTACACCGCAGTCCTGGAGCCAGGAAGCACCTGGCCCCGAATGCCATGCCAGCGGACACGGTGGGCAGGGGCTTTGCTGGCAGGGGGACAGGCAAAATGCAGGCACATGACACTCAGGTTTTGGCAGGCGAGGGGGGAGGCCGCCGGGATCACAGAAGAAGGAGGAAGGGGTCCCGGGGTCAGCACACTGACTCGGCGCTGGAGAGGATGCAGCGTGGGCACAGCCGTTTCCCCTGGCAGCTGGTGATCCCTGCAGGGTGCCGAAATGTGCCTGCAGACCTGTGGTGCCAGCAGGCAGCTAACTTGCCTCCTCTGCCCCACAGGCTGGTCTCAGGGCGGGAGGAGATTAAAGCTGCTTCCCGAAGCTCACCCCAGCCCATGTCACCCTCTGATTTCCTGGACAAGCTTATGGGACGAACGTCAGGGTATGATGCCCGGATTCGACCCAACTTCAAAGGTGAGGGAAGGACGTGAGGCTCCCAAACCTGGCAGCGATCCACGTTTATGGCTGCCCAAACTCAGGGAATAGGCAGGTATGGGTTTGGGGGCAGGACTGTGACCCATGTCCCTCCGTCCCAACACCGTCCCCAGAGTCCTGGCTGCTCCTGTGATCACAGCCGCCCTGCATGTGCCTGCTTTGCCTGACAGCACGGGCGGCTGCAGTGCTTGCAGGGTGTGCTGGGGTTCACCTCAGCACACTAGGGGCGTGACCCCAGCGGGCAGGGGGAATGCTCGTGTGCATTCATCTGCGCAGCACATGCAGGAGGCGGCATCCCCACGTGTGCCTGTGCGATGCACGTGTCTCTCCGGCCAGCAGCGAGAGGAGGCTTCACACTGTTTTCCAGGTCCGCCCGTCAACGTGACATGCAACATCTTCATCAACAGCTTCGGCTCCGTCACCGAGACCACTATGGTGAGGGTTTCACCAGCGCGACGGGCTCCTCTCCCAGCACCTCAGGGCTGGCGGTGGCTCTGCCAGGGAGCGTGCGGGTCCTGGTGCCCGAGCCCATGGCCGTGCTTACAGGGATCCCTGTGAGTCCTTCTCCAGAGCCAGCCCTGGCACCGTGGTGGGGACATGCAGAGCCATAGCAAATGGCTGTGGCTTTTCTGGGCTTGGCTGTGTGGGCCACATTCTCCATGCCTGAGCTGGGAGAAACACCCTGAAGGGTCGGAGCGAGGCAGCTGGCGGTAGCTCCCTGCTGTTCACAGGCTTGGCAGGTGCCGTACAACGCAAGCAAGCTCTGTGTCCCCGCCATCCCCAGCCTCCTTGGGTGCATGAGGAACTCCTCTGAGGAAGCCCCAGGGGTAAAAATTCCCTATTTGTGCTGCTGCAAAGCCTTAATACCATCAACCATCACATCAACCCCTCATAGGGCCACAGAGCCCTGCGAGGAACGCTGCAGGCAGCAGCTACTGGTCCTCCTCCTCCTTCTTCTCCTCTTGGCTGCTGTGGCTTTGGCTTTTTAATTTCCCCTGGCTGCCGACAGCGTGGGAAGGCTCCTGAGCTGCCCCTGCCACATGCATGGTTAGTGTCACGCAGGAAGCACCTGCAAGGCTGAGCCTCAACTGAGACCCCCTTCCACCTCCTCCTCTATCTCTTCTTCCTCCTCCATCTCTTCCTTCTCCTCCTTCTCCCCATGGGGTGCTCCCGGCTGACATGGTGCCCTCTGCCCCAGGACTACCGGGTGAATGTCTTCCTGCGGCAGCAGTGGAACGACCCCCGCCTGGCTTACCGCGAGTATCCCGACGACTCCCTTGACCTCGACCCCTCCATGCTCGACTCCATCTGGAAGCCAGACTTGTTCTTTGCCAACGAGAAAGGGGCCAATTTCCATGAGGTCACCACCGACAACAAGCTGCTACGCATCTTCAAGAATGGCAACGTGCTCTACAGCATTAGGTAGAACCCTTCTCCTCTGGTGCAGTGCCCAAGTGGGAAGGCGAAGCTTTCCTCTTGCCTCCCACAGGGCAGCTTTCCCCCGCCAACTGCCCCAGCTCCTAGCAACCCCCTCCTTTCCTCTGCCTCCTCCAGGCTGACGCTGATCCTGTCCTGCCCCATGGACCTCAAGAACTTCCCCATGGACATCCAGACATGCACCATGCAGCTGGAGAGCTGTGAGTACCTCGGGGGTTCAAGCTGTGCTTCGTCCCCCCCATCCCATCCCATCCCATCCCATCCCATCCCATCCCATCCCATCCCATCCCATCCCAAGGCTGACATCTCCCTGCTTCTGAGGGAGGTGAGCAGGAAGGAGCAGTCATTCAGAGTGGTGATGAACGGGGTGCGCATGCCCCCGTCCCATGGCTCCCTCCATCCCCTTCAGTTGGCTACACTATGAACGACCTCATCTTTGAGTGGCTGGAGGAGCAGGAGGCTGTGCAGGTAGCAGAGAGCTTGACACTCCCGCAGTTCATCCTCAGGGATGAGAAGGACCTGGGCTATTGCACCAAGTACTACAACACAGGTGAGCACCCCAGAGACCCGCTGCCACCCCCGTGCCACGGCCCAGGTGTCCCTCTTGCCCATCAGGGCCGTCTTTCCCCACAGGCAAGTTCACCTGCATCGAGGTGAAGTTCCACCTAGAGAGGCAGATGGGTTACTACCTGATCCAGATGTACATCCCCAGCCTGCTCATCGTCATCCTCTCCTGGGTCTCCTTCTGGATCAACATGGACGCGGCGCCGGCCCGGGTGGGCTTGGGCATCACCACCGTGCTCACCATGACCACACAGAGTGCTGGCTCCCGTGCCTCCCTGCCCAAGGTCAGCACCAGGGCTGCTGTGCTGCAGCCTGCCCAGGGCACCCGGGGTGCCCACTGCTGTCCCCAGTGCCCCAGGGGCAGCCTTCCCTTGGAAATGACTGGCTCTGTAGCCTCGCCGGCTGGGGCACTATGTGTGCCAAGGTGGGGACATGGCGCTGCTCAGCCAGGTGACCTCTGGCCTGTCTGTCCCAGCTGAGAGGGCTCCTGTACCCCTTGGCAGTGGGGCAAAGCTGGCAGTTGGGGGGATGAGGGAGGCAGGGGGCAGTGGGTCCCTGAGCCCCCTCTCGCCCTCACAGGTCTCCTACGTGAAGGCCATCGACATCTGGATGGCCGTGTGCCTGCTCTTCGTCTTTGCCGCCTTGTTGGAGTACGCAGCTGTCAACTTCGTCTCCCGCCAGCACAAGGAGTTCATACGCCTGCGCCGGCGCCAGCGGCGGCAGAGGATGGTGAGTCCCTCCCACCACTGCTGTCACGACATCTGCCTGTCCTCAGCTGCCAAGGGGACACTCCGGGGCTGCAGGGCCAGTTTCTCAGCAGCCGCTGGGGCATGGTGCGGTGCTGGGCTGTGTCCCACTGCCCAGGGCTTGCAGCCGGCCCCTCCGGCATATCAGGGACCCATGGGGATCGCGGTCCTTCTGCCTGCCTGAGCAGCACAGTGCACAACACGCATGGGTACCCCAGGCCCTGCCAGCATAAACATGCCCAGGGTGCCATCCTCCTCTTGCTGGGACATCCTCAGGCTCTGCTTCCTCTAAAAAAGCAGAAAAATAAAAAGTGAGGGTGAGGGAAATGGCCTTTCCCCTTACCTGCAGCCCCAAACTCAGGCTCCTCACTGTGCCGCAGCGGTGACAGGGGTTCGCTGCTGCGTCAGGGTGGTGAAGCACCAAGGGGACCTAGTGGCACCCAGGGACAGGGCCTGGGCTGCAGACGGAAGCACAGCAGGGCCTGGAGAGGCAGGGTCCAACGCTCACGGGACAGCCCTCCCCTCTGTCAGCCCATCGGCACAGGCATCAGGCCTGCGAGATGCTCAGGGAAAGCACGTGGCTGCCCCACTCTCATTTCTTGCCGTAAGCATACCGCGAGGCACCAGACCTCCATGGAAAACATGAGTACACGTATACACCGCACAGGCCCGCAGCGCCCTGTGCTGCCAAATCCCTTTGGCATGTGCTGAAGATGGATCCCGGTGCCAAGGCACTGCTGGAGGGGCTTTCCCCTACCACGTGGAGCCCCCGTCCCCCACCATCCCCATCCCAGCGCACAGAGCCACTGTTTCCAGGGCCGGGGCAGAGCCATCGGTCACCCGCTGTCCTGTTTCTGTTTGGTGCACACTGTCGGATGCCAAAAGGGCCTGAGCAGCGGGACGGCCAGCCTGGAGTCCCTGCAGCAGCTGAAAGGCCAGCACACCCACGCG